AGGAGAAAAAAAAAAAAAAAAAAAAAAAAAAAGGCTTGAACTTCAGGCGATAAAAATTACACTGGATGGGGATTGCAGAAAAGACTCGTGAAATGGAAGGCAAGACAATAAAAAATAACCAAAATGAAATAGAGAGGGAAAACATAATTATTTTTTAAAAAAAAGAACATAGTGAGCTATGAGATAAAAAACTGCTCTTGTTTTATGTTTTAAGCCACTAAGTTTTTGTGTAATTTGTTACATGGCAATAAATAACTAATACAATAGCCTTCAACCAGTGCTGGAACAATTGGTTATCCATGTGTGAAAAAAGGAACTTGAATCCATGCCTCCCGTACCTCTCTCCACACAAAAATTAACTCAAAATGGATAGCAGACCTAAATGTAAATCCTAAAACTATAAAACTTCTGGAAGAAAATCTTTGTGACCTTGGTTTAAGCAAAGATTTCTGAGATAGTATATTGAAGTCATAATCTGTAAAAGAAAAAATTGACAAGTTGAACTACAGAACAATTAAGATCTTCTGCTACTTTATTCTGTTAAGAGAATAAAAGATAAGCCACAGATAGGGAGAAAATATTTGCAAAGCACATATTTGATAAAGAACTTGTATGCAGAATAATTAAAGAATTCTCAAAATATAACTGAAAAACAGAAAAAGTGGGCAAAAGATTTGTATATCTTCTTTACCAAAGAAGATATACAAATAGCAAATAAGCACCTGCTCAGTATCATTAGAGAAATGCAAAATGAAACCACAATGAGATGCCCCTACACACCTGTTAGAACATCCAAAATTAAAGATTGGCCAAGGGAGCATCTGAGATCTTGCTCCCCTGCACATCATCAGTTCACTCCAAAAAAAAAAAAAGATTGGTCAAGACAATCCCTCATGCCTCATGCTCTTCCTCTTCAGCCTGGGCCTGGCAGAATGTCTCCCATGAAGAAGGGTGGCGAGAAGGGGCAATTCTCCCACCAATGAGGCAGTGACCAGAGAGCATACCACCAACATTCACAAGTACATCCATGGAGTGCACTCCAAGAAATGTTCCCCTTGCCCTGGCCGGTGGGGCTCAGTTGGTTGGGCATCGCCTTGTGAACTGAAAGGCTGCTGATTCGATTCTCGGGCAGGACACATGACAGGGCTGCAAGCTCAATCCCTGGAAGGGGGCCTGCAGGAGGCGGTTCATCAAGGTTGCACTATCACATCGATGTTTCTCTCTCTCCCTCTCTCTCCCACTCTCTTTAAAAATCAATGAACTATCCTTTAAAAAGGAAAAAGAAATGTTCCCCTCAGGCATTCAAAGAGATCCAGAAATTTGCCAGAAAGGAGACAGGAACTCCAGATGTGCACATGGACTCCAGGCTTGACAAAGGTGTCTGGGTCAAAGGAATAAGGACTGTTCCGTACCTTACCAGTATATGGCTACCCAGAAAGTGTAATGAAGATGTAGATTCGCCAGACAAGCTGTATACATAGTTGCCTAAGCACCTGTCACCACTCGAAAATTATACGGACAGTAAATGTGAATGAGAATTAATGGCTGATTGTCAAATAAAGTTATAAAACCACACACACACACACACACACACACACACACACACACACACACACACACAGCTGACCGAGCCAAGTGTTGCTGAGGATGTGAAGAAACTGGAACTCATATACTGTTGGTGGGAACATAAATGGAATCACAACTTTGGAAAATAGTTTGGCAATTTCTTAGTAAGTTAAATATACATCTAGTATATGAAGCAGGTATTTCACTCCTAGATATTCACCCAAGAGAAATGAAAGCATATGTCCAAACAAAGATTTGTGCACAAATGTTCATAGCAGCTTTATTTCTAGCAGCCCAAACTGGAGACAACCCAAATATCCATCAACAGGTGAGTGGATAAACAAATTGTGGCATATTCATGTAACGGAATACTACTCAGCAATAAAAAGGACAAATAACTGACTTGCACAACAATATGGATGTCAAAATAATTATACTTCCCGGGCAGCCTGGCTCAGCTGTTGAGCATTGACCTAGGATCCAGGAGATCAAGGTAGATTCCCAGTCAGGGCAGAGGCCCAGGCTGAGGGCTCGATCCCCTGTAGGGGGTGTGCAGGAGGCAGCCGATCAATGACCTTCATCATTGATGCTTCTATCCTTCTCTTTCTCTCTCTTCCTCTCTTTGAAATCAATAAAAATATAAAAATTATTATTATTATACTGCGTGAAAGAGGACAGCTTAATTATTTTGTGTAATTCTGTTTATATAAAATTCTAGAAAATGCAGACTAATCTACAGTGACAGAAAGCAGATCAATAGTTGCCTGGGAATGGGGGTGAGGGGGGGTTAGGCAGGGGAATGGGAGGTAGAAGAGAGGGGCATGAGAAATCTTTGGGGGATGATGGATATAGTTATTATCTTGATTGTAGTGATGGTTTCACAGGTGTAAACCTAAGTCAAAATTTACCAATCATAAGTTTTAAATATGAACAGTTTATCATAGTCCATTATACCTCAAAAAAACCCTGTTTTTAAAAAGATAAACAACTGTCTAAAGCAAAAATAGTAATGTATTTATAACAGATAGAATTAAAATGTATGACAACAGTAACACAACAGATGGGAAGGAGGCAAGAGAAGTAAATAGCAAAAGATTCTTACACTATTACACTACACATGAAGTGGAATAATATCAAAGATTAATTTAAATGTTATTTCTTAAAAATAAAAAGATCTAGAAGTATGCCAAGTTTGCTAAAGTCATGTTGGTTATTTGGGGTTTATAAAGATTACAATCCAGGAAGATATTTCTGTAAAGCACAGAAACTACAGACATTTTCTTTTTTTAAAAATTTAAAATATATCTTTATTGATTTGAGAGAGAGGAAGGGAGAGGGAGAGAGAGAGATAGAAACATCATTGATGAGAGAGCCATTGATTGGCTGCCTCCTGCACACCCCCAACTGGGGATCGAGCCTGCAACTCAGGCATGTGCCCTGACTGGGAATCGAACCTCGATCTCCTGGATCCTAGGTCGATGCTCAACCACTGAGCCACGCCTGGCAGGGCCAGATGTTTTCTAATGAGTCTATAGCAATGCTTGCCATGATATGATGTGTGTTCTTTTGGGATGTAAAGCTAACCCTCTCACTATTGCTGATGCCAAACATTTAAGTTCTAATGACACTACTTAATGGAGCTGGACAGACCTTCAAGTGCATTGCAGCAATGCCACTGCTCGCCAGCTGTGAGACTTCAGGCAAATGCTGAACACTTGAGCTCGAAGAGAGATGCCAACAGGACCTCTCTCATAGGGTCACTGAGCAGTTGAAATGAAATAGTACTTCTAGAGCACTTACTAGAGTCCTTGACACAGAGTAAATACTAATAAATGGCTAGTTCTTATTTTCAAGATCATATTAAAGGAAAAAACAAACACTAAAAATATTTGTGTTTTTTTATCAGGAGGCATACAATATTCCAGTTTCAAAGAACACTAAAAGAAGGTATCACCCCTGTCTGGCCGGCGTGGCTCAGTGGTTGAGCATCAACCTATGAACCAGGAAATCGAGGTTCGATTCCCGGTCAGGGCACATGCCCGGGTTGCAGGCTCCATTTCCAGCAGGGGGCCTGCAGGAGACAGCTGGTAAATGACTCTCTCTCATCATTGAGTTCTATCTTTCTCTCCCTTTCCCTTTCTCTCTCTCTGAAATCAATAAAAATACTTTAAAAAAAAGAAAAGAAGGTATCACTCTTGAATGAAATTTGTTCTCATTGCTAATAGTCAAATCATGTATCCAGGTATCTTATGAATAAAAAAATAGTCTAAAATTCTCCTCTGTCTAAAATCTTGGAGGGCACAAGTAGGGGTCTTGGGTATAAAACAGTCATCTAACTGATGTGTTAGGAGCACTAGAGAATGTGGGAAATCCTGGGCCCTGGGAAGTGAACCCACTTCTCATTTCTTCCCACAAGGCAGTTCTTTTGAAAGGTTGACTTATGTTTAAAGAGAAAATTATGTGCACAATTCAAACTCCTTTTAACATACCATCAACTGAAATACTCAGGCTTTAATATTTTGAAAAATACTAATTGTGCTCAATTAAGAAATGTGAGAAGTCCATACCTGAAAGGGATAGACCATTATCCCACAGAGAAATCATATTAAATTATGGAACCATGATAAATATTTCAAAGGACATGATTCTAATCACCCCACTTGTAATCTTGCCAGTTCAGACAGTTCTAGGACCCACCACTTGGTGGCTGAGCACAAGGGTGACCTCAGTGCCTGCTCACCTGAGACTCACCTTGGTCTCTCTGGAGAGGGGTTGGGGCTGCGAGGAGGAGGTGAGCGGGGCACAGCTGGCTTCGGTGCAATGCTGGCTGCAGGCAGAAGGCCATGGATGATGTGTTTCTGCACAAATAAAATCCAGAACAGGTCACTGGTGTAAGGAATCACCTGGGTCTTGCCACCACTCCTCCCTGGGCCTAAGAAGGGACACTGGCACTGGCCATCCAGGGATGTAGCCCCACCAAGAGGCCCACTCCTCTCCTTGCTATCCCCAATCCCCTTTTGGCCAGGCAAATATGCCCGCCCACGGAGCGCCATTACAGCTGCCCATAGTGGGCCCTTCTCACCCTCCCTTCTCAGAGCAGTTTCCCTGACCCCAGAGTTACCCTGTAGCACCTCCACTTGTCTTATAGCACTGCCTCCGATGGCCCTACTCACTCACTTGCCAACCCCTGCAGAACAGAAGCTTCCTGAGAGCAGGCAACCGTCTTGTCTTTATCAACCCTGAACTCTATGTAGCACTTAGCACATTGCCCTACACCTGGTTGGGGCTTAATAAAGATTTTAGGTAGTTTTGATGATGTAGAATAATAAAAACTAGTTCCTACACACACTGAAAGTAGGGGAATCCTGCTTTAGGCAACTGGGAGTCTCTCAGAAGTTTCTGAGTATAGCCCAATCCTTTTCTGTGCGCCAGACATTCATTCACACCTACTAGAAGCAAAATACCATGACAACAATGAAGAAACCTTGTCCTCGCCCTCAAAGAGGGAGAGAGCAGAGGAAAACACCCCAACACTTATGACATGCAATTATGGAATGTGCCAGGGGAAAGGTGAAGTGCTGAGGTGGCCCAGGACGGGAACCGGGTCTTTGAGTCTGGGGCCAGCAAGGGGACTTCTTATGCCCCCTTGAGAAAACCACAGGGGGATTTAGACTAGGTCTCCCATGAGGCCACTGCTCTCATATTTGGGAAATATGAAGAAAAACACTCTAGGAAGAGGGAATAGCAAAGAAATGAAGCAAAGGAATGAAGCACTTCCAGTGGCAGTGCTCTGGAAACAACAAGTATCCAGTTTGCTGTAATACAGAAGCATCTGAGAGGGAGAGGCTAGAACAATGGGCTGGGGGTAAGAATGGGGACTGTTCCCACTTCAGAGTTTTGATACCAGACTAAGGTGATCCTGTGGCCTAGTGAGGAGCACCCACTGAAATTGGCCCCTGGAAAGACTAAAGAGGCAATGGTAGGCACCAGGCATGGGGAGAGAAGGAAGGTACAACCAAGGGGAAGAGCCAGGGTTTTGGGCATCCTTCAGGAGTGAGGGATGGATAGACCTCCCAAATGTCTCCTGCA